AAAGTGTATTATTATTCATGAAAGCTGAAATACTAGAGGTGGAATTTTATTCATCAAATCTAGACACAAGATTAAGAACTTGAAGCTAAATCCAATATTCTTACATGAATTTCTTTTGAGACAACTAAGATATAGTTCCCAGACTTGACTGAAGCCATAGATTCTCAAAGAAATTAAGGCAAAGTGTCTCTTCCAGACTACAAAATTTCAAAGGTAGGTGTTGAACTGAGATATTTTTAGTTACTTTCACATATAAGAACTTCTATGGACCACCAACCAATAGAGACTAGATAGTTTTTGTTTTTTACTGTCAATCATTAAATCACTAAAATTAAGAGTTCAATACTCTATCAATAAGCTACTGTTGGCGAAATAAATAGTTACTGTCATGTTCAAGATCAGTTTTCTGGTGGCTATTATTATCATGTTTCTTAACGGGCAACCATATACTAATTACCAAACCAGATTTGACCGCAAAGACTAATTGAAGATGACACTTGCATTAAAAGAGGTAGAAAAATTTTTCCCAATGCCAAGATTCGAATAGAATTTTTTTAAGGATTTCCTAAGTGCCAAAATATCCAAACGCATGATTATATGCAGTGAAACTGCATCACATTCAATGTACCCAATTAAAACTAGCGCCATTCAAAAGGATGCTATAGCAATTAATGAGTTGGAAATTTTCTTAACTTTTGTGTCCAAGGCATAACTCACTTCAGACTCCACATATTCAATTTCTCCAAGTTTCAGATATTTCTGATCCTGCCTTGATTTCACTGGCAACATAGAAGGAAAAAAATCCCATATTTCCATATCTAATGAATGGAATAACCATTTCATCAGCAGATAAGAATGCATATATATTCATACACACACACAACTAGATTAATGCTATATCCTTTAATAAAAATAAATTGTTATGCTTTTATGTGATATGATTATAACACTCATAATAACTGATACAAAAAAATTATTTCTTTAAAGATATTTCTTAGCAATGAAAAAAAATTAATGAGTCTAAACTTATTAAAAGATGCCATAAAAAATTATCTATAAGTTATTTTCTCGAGTACATAATATTTTAAGTTAAAATATATGAATTAATAATACTAATAATAGTATGAATTCTATAAATTATAATTTATTATTTTATAATATTTAATAAATCAAATTTTATAAACATATATTTAGAAACCACTTCATTTAAAGTTTTTAAAATATATTTTTCATATTTTTATCAATAATAAATATAAAATAATAAGTGATTAAAGTTAAAAGAATTGACCAACAAAAATAAAAATGTGACAATTTTACTTAGATGGAAGAAATATTAAACTGAATCTTATTTACTATTAAATTATTATTAATTTACTATTAAGTTTCCATTAATTTACTATTAAATTATCACTTATTTTTATTAAATTATCCTTACTAAACGACTATATTCTTATGTACTTACAATTATCTATAAATGATATACTATTAAGTTATTTGTAATTTATGATTATATTATTATGTATTTATTATTATATTATCACTGGCATACAACTATCTTATCAATTATTTATTATTAAATTATTATTTATTTACTATTAAG